TAAATGTTGAAAGAAAGAATCTTGTTAGAGGGCTTTTACGTAAAAGAACTTTGATTATTGCTAAAACCTTACCTTGCATCTCTAAGCCTGCATTCCTGAGTCTTATCAGTTTTTACTTCGGTTAAGTCTTGTTGAGTACTTTTATACTCAGGGTTCGTTAACCCTTGTTGCAGGTGAGCCTCATGAGCAGATCTGTTTTGGACCGTGCTGCATGACGGTTTTTCAAATCGAAGATGACAAGTAAATGTGTGGTCCTTGGGCAGGGCACTTTAACTGTGTGTTTTGTTTTATGTTACTAAGCTACTCCACTACTATGGTTTGAAATAATAATTGTACTTAGTTTGTAAGGTTTGAAACAACTATTTTGTAACTAAATTATTGTAAGACTTCCGCAATTTGGCTCTGATGTAAATTAATGAATAAACTGTTGTAATACTGCAATGACTCTGTAATGGATCCTGCTCAGAAAAATCGTGGATGATTCGGGGTTCCCGAGGACACCCGACAGGCTTCTTAAGTTAACGGGAAAATATGCATAGTCGTCAGAGATCATTGGACAGTGACAGGTGCATGTGGGCCCTATAATTTAGGAGGTTCTGCCACATCCACGCTCAAACCTGAAGGTTTCATGTTTGACTATTTTCATAAGTTGATTAAATTTCAGAAAAAGGCCTATTGACCCCCTCCTCTAGGCCACTTGCTAGATCCTTTCAAAGACCAACTACACAAGCACAATATATGAAATGTAAATACAAGCTTGTGTGTAGGGGATGCAAACCAACAGGAAGACAAGGATGACACGGTGATTTTATCTCAAGGTTCATGGCTTGCCAACACGCTAGTCCCTGTTGTGTCGACCACTCGCTTGGTGGTTCGGTGGCTAATTAGCATGACCCGCCAAGCCCGCACGTCGGAACCGCAAGAACCCACCCCAAAAGTGAGGGTAGCTCAATGACACGCTCAACTAGAGTTGCTCTTCGTGATCCCCGCGGGGTGAGCACAATCCCCCTCACAAATCCTCCTCCGGAGCACTGCACAATCTTCTCATGTGCTTCAACGGAGTCACAAGCCACCAAGCCATCTAGGAGGTGGAAACCTCCAAGAGTAATAAGCACCACCAGCTTACAACTCGAACACCTACTGACACTCGATCTAACCTCATGATGCAATCGCACTAGAATCGCTCACTCACTCAATCGGATGAAGACTATCAAGCTAGAGTGAGTTAGAGGGCTACCAAGCACCACCACATAAGCCACCAAGGCTCTAGTGTGGTCAGCAAATGGCCCAAGGCCGGCCACCACATCTATTTATAGCCCCAAGGGCTAAAAGAGCTATTGCCCCTTCACTAGGCAAAATACGCACTGACCGGACTCGCAGGTCATAACGACCGGACATGCAGGTCACATAGTCCGGTCGCTAGGATGACGCCACGCGTCCCCTCCTTTCGAAGCCGACCATTGGGCTCCAATGGCTAGCTCCCATGCACGTATACTCCTGACCGTACGTGCCTAGGTCCAATGACTGGATGCGCCGAGGCTAAGGCCGATTACCAACGCATCTCTGCACAACTGACCGGGCTCACTTTCTCCTACGACCAGACTCGACTCTCCCAGAGTCTGGTCACTTCCAGAGAAGTTCTAGAGAGCTCTTTTGATGACCGGACGCATCAGGTCATCACTGACCGGACTCTCCATGCGTCCGGTCTCTCCTGGACGTGTTAAAAACACTGACCGGATGCATAGGTCGCAGAGTCCGGTCATAGACTTTTCAACGCTAAAACGGCTATAACTCTTAGTTCCGAACTCCGAATTTGATGATCTTATACATTTTGGAAAGCTTACTCAGAGGGCTACATATCGCACTTGCATATTTGATCCAAAGCACAATGGATCAATGTAGAATTCCAATCCAAGAGCCATCACATAGTTCAGAGCACATCGGAAAACCTTTTTCTCTTCTCCAAGTTGATCCAATTCAACTCCAACAACTTCTCCTTAGCAAATGTGCCAACACCACCAAGTGTACACCACCATGTGCATATGTGTTAGCATTTTCAGAATCATTTTTCAAAGAATTTGCCACTCAATTTGCCACACCACTCGATCCTAGCAACGATGTAAAGTTAGATCACTTGAGTGACACTAGATGACCAATATGCAAACAAGTTTACCCCTCTTGATAGTATAGCCATCTATTCTAAACCCGGTCATAAACTTCTCTACACACCTATGACCGGTGAAATGAAATGCCCTATAGGTTATACCTTTGCCTTGCGCATTCCATTCCATCTCCTTCAATGTTGATGCAACACATGCACCAACACAATCAACAATGATATGATCAACTTCATATTATCATGTGACCTTATTGGTTCATCGATCTTGGACTAATCTCATGTGTATTCTCACATAACCACATATTAGTCCATCTAGGTTGTCATTCAATTACCAAAACCAAACAAGGTCCTTTCAACCAGGCCAGACGCCAACGCTAGAGTCGTCCATTATCCCTTCCTTTTGTCTTAGCCGCATAACGAACAAAAGACTCACGACCTCACCGTCACGACCTCTGGGAGGAACAGGGAGAGGTCACACCCAGCCAAACCTGTCTGCTCTAAAAAGAGTAGGCACGCCGCACTGACCCGCAAGGATCGAGGGACAGCGGTCACCTCGGTCCAGGCAGACGCCACCCCTGTGCCACGCAGCATGGACAAGACAACACCGCCCAAGGCGGTGATGGCCGGTACAGAGCCCACCGTCTAGATACGGCTCGACAAGATGCCTGTACGATTCTACCCACTACGAGATGAGATCCATAATGAGGGCCTTGACTTAGAGGCCATCCAACCCGGTGTGAGCCACGACCCTAGCAGTTAGGACCGTGGCCCTCAACTCCTCAAGCCTATAGGGCAATCGATGACCTAGGGGTGGCTACCAAGTCCTGTAAGACACCCCTAGAAACTAGGAGGCGATAACAAAGACCACGGCGAAGACCACGTCGCACAGGATGGCTGATGAACTACCACTATGCCTACAGTGCCACCATAGCCGAGGCATAATAGCACCATGTCACACCATGCCACGACGTGGCCACAAATCTATGACGACAACCACGCCCAGACATGCTCCACAAGATGTCGTAGCTTGCAAGTCAAGTTAGATAGGACCTCCCTTAGGCTCACGACCCTTCAGTCGAGAAAACCTACTGCTTTGTACAAACCCTGGCCTCGAACTCTATATAAGGACAGTTAGGGCACCATCTTCAGAAATCCAAAACCATTCGGTCCAACTCTCATCATCTACCATTTTACTCATTCTCCATCGTAATAGGGCTTCTAGGGATTCCCCTCAGGTAGTCCATCTCCTAGCTCTAGCTCTTCACCTCTTTCGCCATTCTTGCATCCCCTATTATAAGAACTTCAGAGCATTCAAGCGAGGAACACACACTCGATCATCTCTAAGACTAGACGTAGGGCTCTGGCCTGAACCAGTATAAATCCTCGTATCTTTTGGATGCTACTATCGTCTTCCTAGAGCGGCACGACAATCATATAAATTTACTAGTCTGATTTATAAAACACCGACACAATTCATGCTCAATCGACAATTTAGCTATGCCAAGTTAATGGAACCTATTATGATAGTTTAGTCGTGTGACATGCTGGTTGCCTATATGGAAGAATTATTCCGTGATAGTCAAGACAATTTAATGTTTGAAAAATGCATGCATTATGAATTTATGTTAGTTTTTTTTGAAACCACGAGTTTATGTCAGTTGTTGTGATATTTGTGCTACTAGATGGAAGATGGAGAGATGGGGCCATTTTTTTTGTGAGGCCAAGAGCTAAAGTAATCAATGTGCCAGGCTCGTTTTGTGATGTCTCAATTCTCATAAACAAATGGCCCAAAAAGCTAATCGGCTAGCTTTTTGTTTTTTTTTTGAAAAAGTCTATTTTACCTTCCTAAACTATCCTCGAAGTTTAGTTTTTCTCTCTGAACTCAAAAACTGGGTAAACCACCTCCCTTAACTTTTAAAACTGTTTATTTTACCTCCCTAACCCGGTTATAGGTGGTTTTTAAAGGCGGTTTTGTCTTTTTCTTTTTTATTTATTTTGGTTGAATATTTGAAAAATTATAATAAATCACAAAAAATCATAAAATGAAAAATTTATTTTTTTGAACTCCACATGAGTATATATGCACAGTAAACATATAATATGTTATGGTTTAGTACAAAGTTTTTGTTGTAACTTTAGATTTATGCTTTTTTTAATTAATTTATAGCTGTAGTTTCTATTGTCTAATTGTGGTGAAATTTTTTTGGTGGCCTAATTATTTTATGATTGAACTGTAGTAAAAATTTCATACTTAATTCTATTTTTACACACTTTTAACTATTTTAAAACTATTTAAATAGCATAAAACTAAATAAATCTATAACTCTGTTATATATGATCCAATGAGCATGAAATTTTTACTACAGTTCAATCATATAAAAATTATCCCACCATAAAAATTTTGCCACAATTGAACTATAGAAACTATAGCTTTGAATTAATTATAGAAAATCATAGATCTAAAGCTACAACAAAAACTTTGTACTGAAGCATATCATATTATATATGCACTGTGTAGATCTACTCATGTGGAGTCCAATAAAATTAAATTTTCTATTTTATGATTTTTCTGTGATTTACTATGATTTTTCAAAAATTCAGCCAAAATAAATAAAAAGAAAAAACAAAACCGCCTTTGAAAACCACCCATATCCGGATCAGGGAGGTAAAATGAACGGTTTTAAAAGTTGAGGGGGTGGTTTCCGATTTTAAAATTCAGGGAGGAAAACTGACTTCGAGGATAGTTCGGGATGTAAAATGGATTTTTTTCCTTTTTTTTATCCGGGCCTTCCATCATCCGCCTTTCCTCTCTTCGTCGTTACTGGCCCACAAAAGCCCATACTCATTCACCTGCCTCTTCTTCCTCAGCCTCACGCACGCAATGGTCGCCGTTCGTCTCCTCGGCCTGCGTCCGTCGCCCGGCCGTCTGGAGAGGTGGGTGGGGAGTCTACCGACCGCGGGTAGCTGGGGCGGTCGCCTCACCTTGCCTATACGAAGTGTCCGCTCCTACTTCATTCGGTCCATTCCGCCGCTCGAAGGAGTTGAGAGAGGAGTAAGGGCGGCGAGGTCCTCGCGCGCCATGATGGGCGGCGACCTGTACGCCCTTGACTTCGACGGCGTCCTATGCGACAGCTGCGGGGAGAGCTCCCTCTCGGCCGTCAAGGTCTCCTTCTTCCCTCCTCGGTCTTGTTTCTTCCGGGCCTGGTATGCGTGAAATATGCAACTGTGCGTTATTGGTTGACACGGTGTGCTATGGCAGGCTGCGAAGGTGAGGTGGCCGACGCTGTTTGAGCAGGTTGATGCCGCCATGGAGGAGTGGATAGTGGAGAAGATGTACACCGTAAGACTCCTTTGTTCCCCACCCATTACTTTCTGCTGCTTGTGTACGGTGTACCTACCAAGTTAGCATATCAAGGCTTCATGTAGCTATGCCGTGACTTTGCAAAATTGAATTTATTAATTGGTTGGAAGCGTCTTTCATGGAGATGTGGGAATCTATAGATCCCCCTAAGTAGATTCCATGTTGTAATGCAGCTCACCACAGCAGCAGCAAACTGTCCCTAATTTGCACCTTACCATAGCAGCTTTAGGCAACAAGAATGTGACAAAAAAAAAAGAATAGAAAAACTAATATAATTTGCAAAAAAAAAAACAATGTGTTGGGTCATTGAGTTTAGTGGATTGGAACAGTGCGCAACATGCAGCTTGCTCATATTGCTAGTTTTGTTATGTCTTTTGGTGCCCTATCATGAACTACTGAGCCCCCCTTAGTTCAATCTAGCTTGTTGCCTAGGGTTATAAAAATCAACCAAGAATCTACTTCCACCGATACTCCTTGCCAGCCAACCCCATCCATCATTGCTGCTGCAGTAGTGAAGTCCATACTCCATATCAGCCGGCCACCATGATGTATCCCCGTTTGTTAGAGCTTTGGGTGGCTTCGGCTCTGGTTCCTGCTCCTCTGTGCACTGCAGCGAGGAGACATTTCTCTCTCCTCAAAATGAACTAGGAGCCAGCGAAGCCACTATTTTTGGCTTCATCGGCTTTGGCTCCTCCGTGCACTGTAGCAAGGAGCTGGAGCTGTTTGGAGCCATGCCAAATAGGGCCTAAAGCTTTGCAGCAACTTATCTTCTCCTCGATCTGGGACCTGGTTAAACTTAGGTGCATTTTATTTTGTACCCAAGATCCCTGGCATTGAAGGACAATGTCGGTATCTAAACAAATTTTGAGGTTCTTGTAAGCAGGTGGTCACTTAAGAGGATGGTGGTACAATATTTGAGTGCAAAACCTTTCTCTGTTCGTCACTTTGTTTTCCCCAAACACATGAAAGTTAACATACCCACTGTATGAAGTTATCACAGTACTACTGCAAATGTATTGGTAGGTACTCCCTTTGTTCCAAATTGTAAGTCATTCTGGCTTTTATAGATACATAGTTTTTACTATGGATAAGCTATGTACCTAGAAAAGCCAGAACGACTTGCAATTTGGAATGGAGGGAGTAGTTGTTTGCTCCACACTTCACTAGACATTTGAACTTTAAATGTCTATAGTAGAACACCAATGGTAATTGAACTTTTTATTTATTTATTTATTTTAAAGAAACTATGAATGATTCTATGAATAAATTGACCTTATTTTTCCTGGTGAAGCATAATAGAACCATGTCCTCATATTGGTTGCGTGACAAGGAGCATAGGATTTCACTTTACATTCATTACTTAGAATGTTTTGTGCTATTTCAGCTTCGTCCAGTGGTGGAAACAGGATATGAGAACCTGTTGCTTGTAAGGTTGCTTGCTGAGATCCAAATACCCTCTGTTCGAAAATCATCAGTAAGTTCTGTAGTGCTTCATCTGTAGTGTATTCATGACCAAAGTAACATCATGCCTGTCTTAGGTGGTAACAGAATAGGCAAAATGGTTATAGGCTTCTAGCTTGATCGATTTTTTATATAAGTAATATTTGCAAGGTTGCAGATGGGCTTAGCATCCAAGAAATATTGGAGAACTGGTTAAAACTGAAGCCCATTCTCATGGATGAGTGGCAAGAAGATAGAGAATCTCTTGTAAATCTCTTTGGCCATGTAAGAGATGACTGGATTGAAAATGATTTTTCTGGCTGGATAGGCGCTAACAGGTGACTGATCTATGAAATAATTGGTGTATATTTTCTTTTTGGTCTGACAAATATATTCGGAGAAATCAGGTCAGATTTAACTAAACACTTCATTCTCTTATACAATTACCCTCGGTTGAGGGGAACACTTCTGAACTTTCAGAAATATTTTCAGGCTGGTCATGGATGTAATATAGATTGTACATTTCTGTATAGTAGTAGTGCTAGTGCCCTTAGACAGAGCATACAAAGATAGTTTAAGAAAGTAGTAGTAGAAACCTCATTGTATGTAAGTGGGACACTGGGACTAACTAGTAAATGACTTTCTAATTTGTACTCAATCCATCCCAAATTGTAAGACGTTTGACTTTTTTGACACCAAGTTTGACCACTCGTCTTATTCAAAAATTTGTGTAAAATATCACTTCTTTCGTTGTGGTTTGGTTTATTAATAAAAATTCTTCAAGAATGACTTAAATTTGACTATATTTGCACAAATTTTTTGAATAAGACGAGTGGTCAAACTTGGGACCAAAAAAGTCAAACGTCTTACAATTTGGGATGAAGGGAGAATGTTTCAATGTGATATATTGATTAGTGGCTATCAAATAAGCTGGAAAGAAAATTGATCATTAATAGTTCTTGATTATTGGCTCCATGTCTGCAACCTAGACTTTTCTGTGCATGAGTGTCTCCAGGAGCACACAAATGATACGTATGTGCTTTGCTGCATGTTATTGGCTCATTGCTTGTGTGTATGATTCTGTTTCACAAGTTAACTTAAGTTTATTTCTTCATGTGAAAGTTTTTTTTGACTTGAATAAGTAGAATTTTGTAAGTCACTTCCAAGAGGGTGGCATCTGCACTTTTCACACTCTCTTTTCAGTTTTAGAGATATTAAACTTTCGAAAAAGTTGAATTAATGTGTTCACTCAGAAGTGTTTCATGTTCATTACACATAGAACAAAAGATGTGCAACTCATGGACGATTATGTGACTGCAGGTTTTATCCTGGGACAGCTGATGCATTGAAGCTTTCAAGCTCTGAAGCTTACATAGTCACAACAAAACAGGTCTATCTCATACATTTTCCTGCTGTGTGATCTATCTTTTTGTGATATTCTGTGTCATTGAGTTCGTGGTTTCATTTCTCTTTTATGTACATGTTTATGAACAACTCAGCATTGTGTTTTGACAAATGATTCTAATTTCTAACAACCATATTTAGGCTTTACAGTTTTGTTGATATTTTTTATAATAGAGATTTAGAAGTTTGTTTCCAGCTTTTAGTTAATTCAAATTTACTTTTACAGTTCTGCTCTGTAGGTAATGCAGAATGCTGATCTTCTACTGATCACTTTTTGGTTGTCTTTCAGAGTAGATTTGCTGAAGCGCTGCTCAAACAATTGGCTGGAATAGATTTTCCCTCTGAAAGGATATATGGCCTTGGCACTGGGTTAGTAGGGCACTTATTTTATGTTCCTTCACATATCAAGGGGATTATGTGATTGAATCTGTGATTCCATTCTTACAGTCCGAAGGTTAAAGTTCTCCAGCAGCTGCAGCAAATGCCACAGCACCAAGGCCTAAAACTTCAGTAAGTCCACTTTCACATGATCGAATTTTTACACCATTTACTGTGTTGTATAGCTAGTTCTGGCCAACAATTTATTGGCCAACAATATATAAATATTCCTTCCATACCTAATCAATTAGTTGGTACATCCTCTATTACTGTCAATCAAGGAATTACAGTTGTATCTTTGGTTTTGTTGCACCTGAACAGTTTCATCGAGGACCGACTTGCAACTCTGAAGAATGTGATCAAAGAACCAGCGCTGGACAAATGGAACCTCTACCTGGGTAAGTCATGGTTGATGGTTCTAACAAAACCCAATGATTGATTACTCAGTAGTCAAAACTAATATGTGTCGCTGATATTGCTGGATGCTGTTAGCTCAGTGACATGGGGATACAACACACAGAAAGAGAGGGAAGAAGCAGAGGCTATACCAAGGGTCCAACTCATTGATCTCCCAGATTTCAGTAGGCAGCTCAAATAGCTGGCAGTGACATGGCGTGGATCTTGGAACCTTTGTTTTTGTTTGATGTACGTAACTAGATATGAACAGCAGAAATACTTGAATTTTCGATCGAATAAATTGTTCACATATTTGTGGACTGATTTATTTCAAGCATTCTTCTCCTGACTTAACTAAGATCTTATAACAAACTGAAATGTCATACTGTGCGCCCAATATGGGGGCGGTTGACGCCCGGGCGTCACAGCTCTCGACGAGAATCGCTGCCTGTAAAATGTGCGCCCTCAGCCTGAGCTTCCTTTCTCTCCTCTGCGCTTCTCTCACTTCGCAAATCATCGATCTTTATTTTCCATGCATTGTATTGTAATAAATAGTTTGAAAGGTATTATCGATGACACTATATAAAGTTTTAAATGTTTGAGTAGTTTCGTCAAATGATTATTTGTTACCGGAGTTGGCGCTTTTTTATTACTTTACCAGTTTGTATGTAAATTCGTGGGCTTCTGGGCTGATCTGTGATCTCTAATACCCTTACTTTTGTACTAAAAATTCAAAACTTTGAACCATTTGAAAATATTTTCGTAATAGTAAATAAGATGAACATACTTTAGGCGAATGAGTAATTCAAAAAGCACTGCACAGAGTTACTAATAAGATTTTATAAGTAAGTTCGTAATATTTTGTGCGCTCGGTATTGGTGATGGTTGCAGTCAAAGGGTTTCATCAGAATAGAACGAGAAAGACCCTATTGGTTACTCTAGCGTTGGCATGGCATGTCAAATCCTAAATGGGGCTTTATTCGTCATAAAAATAAGTCCTTATCTGGTATAATACAAAAATTTAAACAATCTCAACTTTAACTAATTTTATAAAAAAAGTACCAATACTTACATATTTAAATAGATTTAGTATGAAAATATATAACATGGTTAATCTAATGCTATTTATTTATTTATTATAAATATATATTTGAATTTATTTGATTCCTTAATATGAAGACTTATTTTATTTTAAAACGGAGGGTATATTCTGTTGACCAAAATGTGTATGCCGATTGCCGAGTCTTTAATTAGTCTCACTGCCCTGTTCGTTTCGCTGAAATTTGGCTTATGCTAATTTGTTGCGAGAGAAAAACATTATTCGTTCGTTGAAAAGTACTATTGTGTGAGAGAAAAACGTTATTCGTTCATTGAAAAGTATTCGTTCGTTGAAAAGTACCGCTGCTGAAGTAGTTCACGTGGAGATTTAGTTTTCTTTTTTTTGAAAAAAAGATCTCTGCGCCTGCTCCTGCGTACCATCGCGCCGCGGCAGGCGACGGCCAGGCGCCTCCACTCCTCCTGGCGATGGCCGTGCGGTCCCGGCCTCGCCGCTCCGCCGGCAACCTTTACCACCTTCGCCTCCCTCAGCTCCTCTTCCTCCTCCCGCTCGCTCTCCTTCTCATCCTCTTCCTCGCGCTCCTTCCCGCGCTCCTCCGCGGCACCAACGCACACGGCCGCTGGTGCCTGCCAGCCGCTACCGACCGCCTCCTCCCCTTCCCCCACCCCGTCCGGGATCCCCGCCTCAGCCTCGCCATAGTCACCCTTGCCGACGAGGACGCCGGCAGGTCGGGCGGGCGACGGTCCTTACGCGGCGTGCTGACGGCATCCGAGCGGAACAAGCGCGCCTATGTCGCGGCCCACGGGTATGGCCTTGTCTCACTCCCCACGTCCGCCGTCGACCCAGCCGCCCACCTAGCTAGAGCAAGGTCCTCGCGCTCCGCACCCACCTCCGCCACCACCACGGGCTCTTCTGGAATGACGCGGTGGGTCGCTGCTGCTAATTGTTAGGAAGTTCTAAACTCCAGGTGTAGATCTAGCGAGTAAAACAAATATCTGTTGGTGTACCTTGGTAGCTAGTGCGCCCGTAGCGATCAGAGATGAAGTACAGTCGCAGTCCCTACGGCGACGCGAGGTATAGCGTCCCAGTGGTGACACTGTAGAGGCGACGGCGGAGTCGGTGGGGCTTCCCGTCGCTGGCAGCACCCTTCTTTAGATTGGATTAGTGTTTCTCTGTCGGTGGTTACGGCGGCTCAGGTCAACCTCGTAGTTCGAGCCCTGATCCCCACCTCTCTTTTTATAGTGCTGTGCGATAGGGGCCCACCAACCATATTAGGGTTAGGCGCCTCCGATCGGGGCACCTTCGATCGGGGCGCAGATCCAAGAGCCCAATAGGCCGTGGAGATCGACTAACATTCTCCCCCTTGATCTCACTACCATCTTTCAATTTCATATCATTTACTTTCGTTCATTCCATTACATATTAGCGCATAGAGCATGTTTCATCGTCACGGTCAATTGTCGATAGATTTAACAGCTACAACACACCACTCTGTTCTGAAATAGATACTTAACTTTGGGCCTTCTTTTGTCCAGGAATTATAGGCTTTCCCTTAAATCCATGCTAGCTACATGTTCTCTAAACACATTGGGTAGTAAGCCTTTTGTAAGCGGATCCACGAGCATCTTTTTGGTACTTATATGCTCAAGACTTATGACATGATCCCGGATTTTATCTTTTACAACATAATACTTTATGTCAATATGTTTGGCAGCACTACTTGACTTATTGTTGTGAGCATACTGTACTGCCGGATTATTATCGCAGTATAACTTAAGTGGTCTATAGATGTCGTCAACCACCTTCAAACCGGGTATGAACTTCTTTAGCCAGTTCACCTGCCCCGTTGCCTCATGACACGTTATAAACTCGGCATACATTGTGGACGATGTAGTGACGGTTTGCTTTGAGCTTTTCCATGAAATAGCTCCCCCTACGAGAGTGAATATATATCCAGACGTGAATTTTCTATCATCTCCCGCATAATCAGAATCTGAATATCCCACTATATGGAGTGAATCAGATCTTTTATACGTTATCATGAGGCTTTTCGTTCCATGCAAATAACGCAAGACTTTCTTTACTAATTTTCAGTGTTCTGTTCCAGAATTGCTCTGGAATCTGCCAAGTAACCCGGTAACAAAATGCCAAGTCAGGGCGCGTACATACTTGAGAATATTGCAAGCTTCCGACAGTTGAAATAGAATTAATGCATAAAATCATTAAAATTACGATATTGTTATTAACAACGTTGGTCAGAAAATAACAACATCATAATCATGTTCAAAATCTCTTTTTCTCCAATTAAATATCATGTTGGTTGATTACGATATTGCTATTAACAACGTTGGTCAGAAAATAACAACATCATAATCATGTCAAAATCTCTTTTTCTCCAATTAAATATCACGTTGGTTGATTACGATATTGTTATTAACAACGTTGGTCAGAAAATAACAACATCATAATCATGTCAAAATCTCTTTTTCTCCAATTAAATATCACGTTGGTTCAAAATAACTGGAGAATAAACAGTTTCTTTAGCAGTGGAAAAATAATTCAATTTAATGAATTTTGCCCACAGGATAAATCTCTTTTCTATTTTCTTTAAGCCATTAATCAATTTCCAGGAAATAAACATTTACTGGAAAAAGAAAAAAGGAAAACTGATTCATTTCTGTTACTGTCTTCGGCCCAACCGGCAAAACAGCCCACGGCCCACGGCCACGCGCGCGCTCTCCCTCGCGCTCCCCCGCGCCCAGGCCGCAACCTGGGCCTGGGCCGAAAGCCAGCCCGGCCGTTTGCAGCCGCTCGATCAAGATCGACGGTCGTCCGCGCGTCTCGGGAGATCAAAAGCGCGCCGCGGTCGGTGCCCCGAAACCCTAATTCCATTTCACATTCTCTGCTTCTCTCTCTTCGCTCTCTCTTTGCCGCTCTCCTCTTCCCCTCCCCTCAGCGCAGCCACAGCGAGCGACCGGGAGACACAGTGGAGCATGGCGCCGTCATCGGCCCCTTCGCCGGCGTGTGTGCTCCCAACGGGTGAGCGCGCCACCGTCGAGGGGCCTAGCCGCGGTGCCCTTGGCCCGTTCGGCCTTCTTATCGCACGCCGGCAAAGCGGCATCGCGGTGCACGGCGAGGTAGGACCCTTCCCCTTCTTTCCCTTTCTCTTTTCTTCATCTATTTTTGAATCTTTTCCTCTGTTCTTCTCGGATTTCATCCGAATGGGGATCTAGGGTTAGGGTTTCAGGTTAGAGTTAGGGATTCGCTCTGTTCTTCCTCTTCCCAAATTGATTGCGGGTTTAGGGTTCGGTTTCGAGTAGACTTGAAGCCGAGCCCTGCTTCTCTTCTTTCTTTCACCCAGTTAGGGTTAGGGTTAGAAAAACCCTCTTTCTTCTCAGATCCAAACTGGATCTAATCGGTTCTCTGCTTTCTTGTCTGTTTCTTCTTGGTTCTTTGCCGATTGGGGATTAGGGTTAGGGTTAGGGTTTGACTCACTGGAGTCACTATTCATCTTCCCCAGCGAGTCTTCGTGGGTTAGGGTTCGGCTTCGCGTGCCTAAACCCCTTTCTCTTCTCTTCTCAGATCCGAAACGGGCTCTGTTCTTTTCTTGTCGCGCGCCGACGAAGACGGCGGTGCGGCATCTTTCCCCGCACGGTGGCGGTGGTGACCGGCAGTCAGTGACGCCCGCCACCCTCCCGGTCTCTTTTCTATTTTCTTTTACCCGGTTAGGGTTAGGGTTTCAATCCGAAACGGATCGAACCCTTGTTCTTTCTTTGATTTCTTTTCAATTCTCTACCCCATACTAGATCTACAGACTGTTAACCTGGCTCTGGTACTATTGTTAGGAAGTTCTAAAGTCTAGATATAGATCTAGCGGGTAAAACAAACATCTGTTGGTGTACCTTGGTAGCTAGTGCGCCCGTAACGACAGGAGATGAAGTACAGTCACAGTCCCTACGGCGACGCGAGGTACAGCGTCCCGGTGGTGACACTGCAGAGGCGACGCCGGAGTCGGTGGGGCTTTCTGTCACTGGCAGCACCCTTCTTTAGATCGGATTAATGTTTCTCTGTCAATGGTTACGGCGGCTCAGGTCAACCTCGTAGTTCAAGCCCTGATCCTCACCTCTCCTTTTATAGTGCTGTGCGACAGGGCCCCACCAACCATATTAGGGTTGGGTGCCCCCGATCAGGACGTAGATCCAAGGGTCCATTGGTGGAGATCAACTAACACTGGTTACTTACTACTGCTGGATTGAAGCTTTGATTACTATACTATCAACGTAGGAGGAATCATGTTTCTTGTCTCTTGCACATAATTGGTTTGCTTAGTGACCACTAATTGCTCGTATTTTATTTTCGTTGTTACAGGACACGCTGGTTACTAACCCGGATATCCCGCTGGTGAGTCTCATGCTTGTAATTTGTCCGTCGTCGGGTTATCCACTTGAATATGAATACTTGACATGCACAGTCCTGATATCACGATCAAACCAATGATTTTTGAAGAATTGGGCTCTATTGTAGATGCACTTGGTACAGAATCTACAGTTGGGTCCCCATGTTGGGGTGTTCTCCTGACATTGCTCGTCTTGTTCACATGTTTGCAGGAGAGGATTTTATTCTCAGTGATCGGACATAATGATTTTGATGAGTCACCTGATCTTGTTCTGACAGAGGATTTCGGTGGTGTGAATGCTGGTATGGGAGACTAACACTGTTAACACAGAGTATTTGTGTCTTTTGTTTATCAAAATTGCTTTGCTACCAAATTGTTGGTACACTGATTTTTAAGCATGTTCAACCCCAAGAGGCATCTCTATACTCAAATCGTCAACTCGTCTTATTGTCAATATAATGGAGTTTGAAACTACATTTATTCATCTGAGTGTTTTGCACCCACTCATGCATGTTCAGAATAATGTGATGTTGAGAAATAAACATGTCAAATGGCCATCTCTGTTATTCGGTGGCATGATTTTTACATTCCTTTTCTAGTTCATCATTCACTATGATACTGTAAAATAGGCATACCACTTCTCATGCAGGAGTTTTCTTCATAAGGAGGTCAAAATGGAGTGAGAAGTTTTTGGATACATGGTGGAACCAGACATCGTTTATACAGTTTGGTTCCACGAGAAGTGGAGATAATGCAGCATTCAAGCATCTCATAGATCACTTATCAGCTGAAGAAATGCAAGAGCATGTTCGGATAGCAAAAATGCAGTGCCTCTTCAATTCCTACCCATGGACTCTTACGTTGAAATTGGTGCACCGCCTGATCTTCCACCTGCCCACTACATGGAAAGGCTCCCTCAGTCACTCTAGTACACTACATTGCATTTGTAATGAGGGTTTGCATTTGAATGTTATGACTCATTGCATTGATCTTGAGGACATAACTTCCTAGGAATTGTTCAGATTTATCTCCTGACTTATTTGATAGCTTTGGAAAATTGATTTTCTATATACAAATTGATAGTGCAACAATGGGAAGGATGGTATCACATTAAATTAAGCCAGTACTTACTTGAAAACAAGAAAGGTGACATCCCTCCAGCATTCATGCACTGCATATCTTTCGTCTAGTCTTACCACACGCCAGTCACTGCCACCTTACATTATCGCCTATCCCTGCATTGATTTCCAATAGGCTGAAATTACGTTTGCTTGAAGTACCGTATACCAACAGCAAGTCTCCACGTTCCTTCTGATGGAAGTTTTTACTATTATGTATGGCCTCTTTAGGGAGTGTTTGTTTTCTACAGACGCTCCTAAAATTCCTGTCACATCGAATGTTTAGACATATGCATGGAGTATTAAATATAGACTAATTACGAAACTAATTACATAACTTGCGACTATTTTGCGAGACGAATCTTTTAAGCCTAGCTAGTCCATGATTTGACAACGTGGTGCTACAATAAACATGTGCTAATGCCAGATTAATTAG